TGGGTGGAATTTTATATTGTTTTACACATTACAGAGGTGAGAGTATTTTTATTTTGCTATATGTTACATGAATTTATTTAAATGTAAATTAAATGGACAGTAATAAGTTTTACAAAGTATCTCGTTACAATGCACTTCTTTAGCAACAAAGTAATATGTTACATACGACATGTAAGGTGCCAGACACCTACAAGTAAATGAAATGGTTGCCTTTTAATTATTATTATCAATTAACATTTTTAATGTCGGTATAATTATTATTTTTATCATTAGATCTTGTAATAGAAAATGAAAAATAATCCATAAGATTGATAATAGAGAGTTATAAGGTACAAAAATATCGGTGAACAATACCTTAAAATGGTAATTGAATAAGTTACCGCTGAGAACTGCCAATATCTTTAACATCTTGCAATTGTAATGGTCTAAATGTATAGTTTTATCTCACTTTAAGAGTAATTTTTGACTCACATCTAAGAGCTCATTGTAAGGCTTCTGATCTGCTCTTTTAAATGTTGTCTTACAGGTAAAAAATGCCTGTGTAAAGTGTTTAAATTTGAAAAAAGAAAACATTTATTATGGGTTACTTGTATGGCCCTTAGTGGTTAGCGGTAAAGTAAACGGACGAAAATGGATACGTAGATATATTTTAAAGATAGCGCGTGATGGGGAAGTAGCGATAGCAATAGAAAAGTGAGAAGTAATAGTGGACGAGATGACCACCGATCAATATGAATGAATGAAAAGTAAATATTTTGTCGACCTAAATAAAGTAATCGGGACAAGAACAAGCAAATATGTTGATATCGTAAAAATATTAAAGTGGTATTCAAGGTTTTAAAGGTGTCATAAGAATAGTTAATTTAGATGGAGGCATGGTTATGACATTAGATTTAAATTACAAGATTCAAAATAGTTCATAAGAGTTATGAAAAACATTAAGGGATTGTATCGAGCAAGTATAATATGCTACCAAGAAGATAATGTCTCGATGAGTACAAAATCAGCTAATTAAACGTGTTCCTTAGAAACACATTTAAGCTTAAGCGAAAATTCACTGACAAGCAATTATTACGAGTGTTAAATAAGGGGATGCGTTCGCAAATAGGCAGTTAGGTTTAATAGCTGTTACGGTTGCGTCGCCCTAGGGCTTAAATAGGGGGTGATCTTTATCAATGGTGCGACGAAACAAGTGTCTCGACTGTCACCATAGATCACTTCACAGATGTAAGCTACGTTAGCTTTTACATTGCTAGATTTCGAGTATCTTTGAAATCTAGATGAAATAATACCAATACCAACCTATTGCTATAAACCAAACCAAAAATGGCTATAAACGTTAAAGGTTCAGAGAATTAAAAATGTGTTACAAAAATGTGTATGCTTCCCACTTCTAGACACAGTTGGACGTAATTTAGTGTGTAATGTGATTGAAAGTAATCTTTTTACCGGATTACAGTCAATTAAGATTATTTTTTATTATTGTCAATTTTATTTGTGGAGTTTTTGGCACTCATCAAATTCTTCATTCTTCATTAAGAATGGGCTATTGAAAATAGTTTAATTATTGCGACTTATTTGAATAAAGCGAATGTTAGCTTCGAAGAATTGTAATAACATTAAGTCTTGTAATCTAAAGCTGGATCATATTTTCTGTTCCCAGCCCTGGCAGGACGATTCAGTAACTTGCGCAGCGTTTATGGCACACCATACAGCCAACAATCAATGTACTCTATGTATAGTTACACGTATCATAAAGTTTTATCGTGAACGTTTATGAGCTCATTTTCATGGCCAAAGCGAGGAATGCAGAAAAAGAAATTAAATTATTTATAGTTTTTAGGATTCCTCTATAGCTTTTAATTAAGGAAAGTCCGGTTTTGAGATTATTGCTGAAAAACAACTAAAAATTAGCAGTTGGTAGAGGATACGTAACATTTATTGTATTTCTACATGCAGTATTTAATTTAATTTCTTTGTAGGCAAGCGAAAAACCTATAAATATTATACTTATGTTTATCCGTTATTGAAGACTGTATAAAAGCAAAGAGAACGAGACAGAATCCACAGCAGGTTAATGATAAAAATAGTGATAGATGATGTCGCTTTTTATAAAGGAAAAAAAAAAAACTATTCTTCAATAGTTCTCGCTAAGCATTAGGATTATTGTTAAAATTGCCAAATCCCAACCCTCGACTAAGTGACTCAAAAAGAGTATAATTGAGTAAATTATATTTTTTATGGTTAACTTAATAATATTTTTAATTGAGAAATTTTTGTTTTTATTTTGAACTTCCTTATCGATCCAAAGTTTTCGATTTAAGCGCCCTCTTGCAAGACTTAATACTAAATCATCATCATCATCATCACCAGCCCTTTTGCGTCCCCACCTTTTGCCTTCCTTATTTTTATGGTTAAGGAGAATGCACGCTGGCCCAATGCGGATTGAAGGGTATTAACGACTGCAAATGCAGCCGGGACCAACGGCTTAACGTGCCTTCCGAAGCACGGAGTAGCTCGAGATAATAAGTTTTTGGTCACCCATCCCGTGACCGACCCTTGCGAAAGTTGCTTAATGACTACGATCGCGGGCCGCGGCGCTTATCCAATACGCCACCGAGCTATTCAAAAGGAATCTTGCAATACTAAATAAATAAATAAAATAAATGACTGATACCAAATTAAATTGGTAAAGCAGTTTAATGGAAATTTGAAACAATGAAAAAAGCCTAGACTCGAAAGTTAATTTACTTGTATAGAACTCATTAACGCTAATTGAGCTATCGCCCGACTCTATATGTATAAGTAGGGAAAAGGCGACTGACTGATTTACTAACGCACTATGCGTTAAAATACTATGGTACAGTATTAGTAATTATAACAGAGTTTTTTAAAAATTCTACTTGGATAGGTGATTTCATCTTTACTCATTATATTTCAAAATTATCGCATGTTGTTATATTATGATTATGGAATAATTTAATCTTTTACGTTAGATATTGTAATGGAAAGATAACTATTATACATAATGACGTTCATTCATATTTGGGTTGTTCCTTATTCATCCTATGACGTCTCATCCTAAGCATTATTTTTTCCTTATTCATCTTATTTATGTTACATATTCAACCTGCAAAATTTATTTCATTTTAATTCTTTATTCATCCTAATAATAATCCTAGTCCATCCTCATTTTTAAATCACCTAAAAAAAATTAGTTTCTGTGTAAGGTGTTATATTTTTTTATCAATGTAAATTCATATTTAAATTCACAAATCTTCTTTCATTACCGTGTTACTTACTTACTAACTTGCTTCGTCAAAAACATATAGGTAACAACAGGTAACATGGTACTTGGAGAGTGACAAATTTTTTTTTCTTGGTAGTATTTATTTAGGTTGATAATAATTAGAAATAAAGGGTTCTGCGCCTGAGTGGCAGACTAAATATGGTCTAGCCTATAGTAAAATAGTCATCGGTCCATTTCTGAAAAGAAAATATATCGACAAATGCCCAGCTATATGTCTGTTTGGTGCAGTCGTGGCCATTGTTTTGTTTCTAATGTTGAGTATATTGTTGTGTGTATTATAAACAGATTTGAATTGATCGAGTCTTGTAAACATTCCCCTGTACACATTACTTATATTAATTTTAGTAAAACTACTTTGAATAAAATAATAATGTTACCCTTCAGTTAGCTCTTTTAAGACTCGTGGGTGTGAAAGAGAGAACAAAGTACTCGATGAATCGCTGTCTCATTTTATGCCTGTTTGTTGCATGCGAAAGAGTCCCTTTGTTATAAAAGCAAAGCACCAATCTGCTGCAATGGTGAGTTATGTCTCATTCTCCCTATTCAACTTGATTCGCTTACATAAATCGGGAATATCTATGCCCCAGCAGTGGAAACATTCATAGGTGATGATTATTTAAGTACATATATATATGATAAAAGATGTAAGGTAAATAACCGTTTCAAAAAAAAACATTTATAATATTAGATAAGTATTTATATTGTATACATAATAATTTTCCGAAAAAATATTAAACGTTGTTTTGCTATCCATATTTTTAGTAATATTTGTAGGATGAGTTAGAAATACTATAGTTAGGGATGAGAAAAGAAATGTGATGATGCGTCATAGGATGAATACGGAACGACCCTTATTATCATTAATTTATTTGACAATAACATGGATTTGTACCTACTTCCAATAGAACTAGTGAGTTTCTTTTGTTTCTTCTTCTTATCAGCCATAATAAGTCATGAACGAGTAGGTAAAAAATGTTGGACGATTCAATATTACTTTCAATAAGTTTATTTGAGTAAAGATATTTATTTATTTATAAACGCAGTAAATAATAAATGTACGTACGGATCTGCCGAAGCTTAGATCCGTTTCACATAGGCCAGGTTGTGTTTTACTTGGGATCTAGAACTGTGATTGATTTCGAAAGTATCTCTCTCTCGGCCGAGTTGATTGCCAACATGACTTGACAATATGAAAATGTTTAAGTATTTGACGTCGAGATCTTTCTCAACAGCGGTGAACTTTGTTTTTAAAGATTGCTAGAAGACTCGTTTCGAATTCAATCTATGTACATACCTAGCAAATTTTTGGAGGTTTCATATCGTCTTTGTTTTCAGTTTCGATCTCAAAATTTTGGGTTTCTTTAAATTAAAACTAAATAAAAATTACATTAAATTACCATTTTTTGGTATTCCCCCTGCGATTCTACTATTTATGTATAAATAGTCTATATATCTTGATTAATTTAGGTTAGGCCAATATGAATTACGTTCATGATTTTAAATTGAATACTCCTTCATTAACACGTAAGATTTACTTTTGACTTATCGTAGGAAGAATATGAGCCGACAGAAAAAAAATGTTTGCAAAAGTATATATGAAGCATCAAATTCACTCATTAATTCACGCCAACATTGACTGATGAAGAAATCAAACCACTAAGAGGTTATCGTTTCGTTATTAAAAGTGGAATCATCCGGACTCCTCTAACACTGCACGTGTGAGAGAGACGTGATCTTTGCCAAAAGTTTTTGCTAAAAAGTTATCTCTGCTATATCGGAATGCAATGCCTGTTAAAAACAGCCAAGCGTGATATTATTACAGTTAGGTTCCTTTGAATAATGGTAAGCTTATGAGGTATGAAGCAATAATCACTAAATATAGATTCAGTTGTTTGCAAATTAGTATTTTAAGTGGTAGGATGGATTTTTTCTTCTATTAGCTTGCTTATCTGAAAAAATATTATAGCACGAAAGTAACATTGTTTATCTGTCTGTTACGCTTTCTCGGACAAGTTATATAAACCTATTTTTGTAAATTAACTATAAATGTAATATTCCTACTTTATGTAATAAATATTATGATTGTTATTGTTATAAGAGAAAGATTAACTTTTTCCTCAAAATATCATCTTTAAAATAGCCTTCTTATTTCGACGTTTCATCGAAAAAATCGTGAATAAAAGTTAATTTGACGGAAGTGACAATAAATAATTTCAAATCCAATCACTTCAATTTAAAATGATTAACTTTTGAATTAAATTTGTACTTACTGTGTGGTTTTTTCGCCGGTGGTACGGTACCTGAATCGGGGCCGGCATTCGTCCAATTATTGGAGCAGACTCTGTTGCCATGGCAACTGCGCGGGCGCAGCTTTAAATCATTCGAAAACGAGCCGCAGCGTGAGAGGTGTACTCGACAGGTACTGCTTTCGTTCAATGACTAAAAAAACATAATAATTTTACGAGGCCACATTCTTTTACATTTTAGCGTCACTTCATTAAGTAACAAAATAAGACTGCTTTCAAATACTTGAATAAGAAAGGAAACAATCAGTTAACGTATTTAAGAAACTTTTGTAGTGTTACATAGAGCTTTACCGTATTAGGTGCGTAAATTACGTTATAGGGTCGATGCCATACAAATCCTATGAAAGTTCCATCAAGCGTCTCACAGAGTATACGTTAGTAAGCGACGTGTCATCGGGATCTTACCCTAATTTCCAGGTTATGAGATGGTTATATAGTTATTTTAAAAATAATACTTGCCATGTCACATCGGATTTCTTTATTATTTTATTATTAGCAAATGAAATCTAAAACAAACCGTTAAAGCATGAAAACTTTAAGATTCAATACCATTCTGAATGTGAAGGTTCCCTTTGGGGGAGTTCATAAATTACGTGAGGTGTTTTTTCAAATTTTCTAATAAAAAGTACTAAGTAAAAACGACTAGTTAGAGACTTGTAATCAATATTGCTGAGAGCTACAAGTGTAATAAAGATTAAACAATAGAATACTTAATTCGTAACTACTGCGATTAAAAAACGAATATCTACTCTAATTCAGTCCATGGAGAATCATGCACGGTCTCGAGAGAGACTATTGGAACCAGCATGTCCATATGATTTTCAGTAAAATCATCTGCTCCTTCAACTTCGTTCTGATCCAGCCACTCTAAGCCGTTGGCACTTGCGCACAGTAACTCATTAGCTCGTTTTGTGACAATCCGTGCGAGTCGTACTTTGCGCAATATACGCGCTTGCTTAGCTGGTGCAATGTGGGCTGCACGCCTGTGCTCTGCAGCTCTTGTGATAGATGCAAAGTAAATACCGCATGTACTACAGCATCTTTTTTCTAAATCATCATGTTCACTTGGGCAATAGAGATCATAAGGCGTGCTAATGAAGGCGGTTGAATCGGTAGGCAGTGGCGTATTAGAAATGGAACAAATGACTTTCCGTCATGCTCTTTAAAGTCCGGAATTGTCAAGTGTCCATCAACCTGAGTGATAGGGTATGGAGGTGACAGAAAACGGTCGTGAAGAATCATATGTAGATCACATGAAGAATCGAGTAAAACATTTGCAAGAATAAACAAAGCAGGTTGGAACCTGTCCGTGTGTCGCTGCAAATCAAATCAATGAAATCAAATCAAATCAAAACATTTATTTGCTCAAATATTGTGTCAGTACAGTTGTTACATAGGTTTCATGCTCAACAATATTTTGCCTTATATAGTAGGCGTGCAAATATTATATTTCTAATGTCATTAAATTTTTAAAATATCATATAATTTTAGTTTGATTATAATGTCCGTGATATTATCCAAATACAATATAAAATTCTACAATGTCATATACAATACAATCAATATACACAAATTTGTCAATATAAATCAAAGAACACCAGAATAGGTCATTTACATAATAGTCAATATTATAATGTTTAATGTCAGTTTTTATAAGATAAAATGAAATATACAATAATAGAATGTCAGAAGATATAATATTTTTTTTTTTTATTGCAGTTATTTGTCATTCAAGTATTCATTAATAGAATAGTATACTTGTTCTCCAAGCCAATGACATAATGAGTTTTTAAATATATTTTTTTCATATGGAAGTTTCCTAATATTTTGTGGCAGCTTATTATACACTTTAATAGCCATACAGTACACATTTTCACTAAAGAGGGTTAAATTAATTTTTGGTATACATAATTTATTTTTTCTGGAATCCCGAGCGCTTTCATTTCTTTGTTCGTGTGTGACAAAATATTCAGGGTAATGTTTTACAAAGAGACACATCTCTGTTATATACATGCATGGTAATGTTAGTATTTTATGTTGTCTAAATAAAGGCCTACATGATTCCCAGCTTTTTATTCACTCAGCTCGTACGCTCTCATTCATCGAGAGTCACACGTTCAGCTGACAGTGGCGCGAAAACAAGGGGCGGGCTACATTGTACCGTTAATTCAAATTAAATTGAGCTATTTGGTATAAAACGAGTATAGTGGTTTGACAATCAGGAGTGATGTATAATGTCAAAGTACGAATGAAATTATTTTCTTTCCAACGAATTAGTGAATGATCTTAACCTTAGACTTGTCACTCTATGAGGGATTCCCCGCACCGAGCCTTATTTTAAAAATTGCGTGATATTTGCCGAGACCCCCCCTATCTCCAACGTGAGATTAGATGAGATTTGACTCGACTCCCTCCCCCCCTTAAACATCTTACGTAATTTATGGACGCCCCCTTTTCCTAATCGCTAAATTGTGAACATATCAGTTTTTTTTTCGACTTCGTCTGAATATCATGCCCAGCTTATAGCAGTGCGCGTTCAAGAGTCAACACAATGTTACTTTATATGGAATTGTTGGAATACGCCATGAAAATAATTCAACCGAAACGTTTTACAGGTACTGCGGACAGAGTAATGCGGAAAGCTGAATTTTTAAAGAGCACATGAACAGTTTGTTGCAGTTCTGGAAACCGTCAACCAACTGCAGTAACCACTGAATTGCTGATCAAGCGTTTATTTAGATTGACTTTTATGTGTCTAACTATATAGATGTGATTCTTTAGAAAGCTTTGTAATAAGGGATAAGTATCGGACAAAATATTCTGATCTATTAATTTAATAAAGAATATAACAATGTGGATTTAATAAATAAAATGACTGATTTATTTAATAAATAGGAAAACAAACGCTGTTTTAGATAACCACGTTAATCTTTGTTGGACAAAGAAATATATTGAATAAGAAATAACAATCCGACTGTACGCGTACATACAAATATATGCAGTGGCGTCGTCTCGACGTATTTCCGCGGTTACTGTACAAAAGTCGTCGAAGTGTGAAGTTGAAGATTAGAATTCAACAAATTTCAAGTGTCTGGGTGATATCATGCCGCAATATCATTCAACAAATTGTTATTTTACATCATATAACGATTCGAATTAACAAGAATTCTGTCTAGCTTGAGGACAATTATCGCATGAGGAATATGAAGCATCAATTATTATGTTAACTACGTATGCCTGGCAATCGACGGATGCATAATGGATTAAAATTAAATGGAAGAAAGGTTAGATTATAATAATTCTAGTGTTTATGAACATAAACTAACGATGCTGACAATCCTGCTTAAGGGTATGATTTCCGCTGAATATATATGTATACGGCGAATATATACGGCCTTACGCGGAACGAAAACAAACACATTAAAGAACCTAAAGTATTAAGCAAAGGGAAAGAATAAGTTTATTGTTCTTAGAAAATATTCGATAAGATTTTGAAATGAAACCGAGGGTACTCACCAAATTTTCAGCACCATCGGAACTCGAACTTGTGACAGAACCTTCTGCAGGTTCGATGATTGATAAAATTTGCGAATATTTTAATAAAACGTGGGCAATGTAGAGCAATTAAAAAGTATCAATAATTACAACAAAAGTAAAAATAACAATTTAACTTGAAAAGAGGTTGAATACGAAATTTAAAACGAAAAAATCTTTCGAATATAGTAAGATTTTTCAAGAGGTTCAATACATCCACCGATATAAATTTAAAAAGAAAAATCTTTCGAATAGTGTAAGATTATTTTCTTTTTAAATTTCGTCGGTGGATGTATTCAACCTCTTTTTAAGTTAAACTCCTCGAAAGTACTCGCTGTCTTATTCGAATATTCTAATTGAATTTGAAATCAATGCTCTTAAAATTAAGATTTATTAGCTTAAAATTGTGTACCTGGAATTTATTTTCCTTGATGTATGAATTTCAAAAAATACTTTAAACATCAAACTTTACCCGAAGTCTTTAAAATTTAGAAATGCATTCGTAGGTTTGGCGAAAAAGGTAAGTAGGAAAGAACATTATTTATGCAACTTCATCAATTCATTTAAAATAATGAAAAAGTTTAAAAGTAACCAAACCTTTACTGGATAAATAAGCATCATTGGTTTTTACTGAGCGAAACTTGCATTGTCATTGATGTGGCAGTACTAATTATGTAATTAATTAACTAACTAGCTATTTATTCGCTGACGAGATATTTTATTTTTTTGTTGTCAATACGTGGTTAAGCGGTAAATAGGTAGAATTAAAACAATGTTTATTTGCCTTTGTTTATTTATACATAATTATACTAGCTGTTTTCCGGCGGATTCGTCCACGTAAATTGTACCTATATTATTCGCGTAGGATGTAATTTGCCGTAGATGAAAGAATTTTTAAAATATGTCCAGTATTTTCGAAGGCTATTCGATACAAACAAACAATCAAATCTTCTCATTGATATATTAGTATAGATAAAGTAAATAATAAGTCAAACCAAACTCATTTATTATGTGAAAGTCGAAACTCTGCGTGTTAAGAAGAACCGGCAAGAAACTCAGCAAAGGTGCTCTTCTAAGTGTTTTATTTTGTACGTAGAGAAGTGCAATTAAATATTACTTATTAGCGAAGTCACTTTCCATTACAATATAAAAAATTACAATTGGGCATTTTATAGCATGTGTGGAAGCTGTCCCAGGCATAGTTTTGTTTTGTGTTTGTGCCGCATTCGGGGAGTTTCCCGCAAACTGAGTATCAACCAAGGGACGTAGGGACATAGCGATTATTAGATATATAAACTATGGAATTGGTGAAACTTAAAATAATGAAGACGAAAGTTCGTACACTTAGATGTTGGTTGGTTATTTCTTCACGTAAAAGTCGGAAATACTGGACGAATTGACGGCATTTAATTTATGGGTTCCGTAGAGAGAAAATTACTGTCGTCATGCATACCGCGCCGGTGAAGAGGCAGTCTTTCATAGAGGCGTTTTATTTACATACTAATTACAAGTATTTGTGTATAGAGTCACCTTTTAACCTATTTAAATTACCTTGGAAGTTTCCTTCACGAAGTGGGCATAAGATGGAGGTTAATATTGTAGGTTACTTTACTTTTATACGCACAGACTAATTTAAACTGCTTTTGTGTTTTACATTTATACAACCTAAAAAATACACAAACAGATCTATAAAGACGAATCTGATATTACATTAAGCTGATCCTTTTTTTGCACGAACATAGTTACTAAAAGTATTGATACTGTGGCTAACGCTTTTGAAGTTAAGCTAAACGCTGCTTTTGTCTAGACATTGCCGGAGGGTTATTACCAGTGGTCGGAATTAGGTAGAGTTATTCATGTACTTACACTGATTTCATACAGCGAAAGAATAGAGTGGATATGCCTCAAATCCCGAGAATAATTTTAAAGAGCAGAAAAAATCCCGTGATTTTTTAAATAAAAAGTTATTTACTTTTACACAATTTAAACTACTGCATGCACGACGTTGCCAAACTTACATCAATGACATCGGATGTCCAAAGATTGTCCATTAGAAATCCCGGGAAGGTCCACATTAATATCAACATTTCATTGCAAGCACATAAATAACTCTACCTAATTCCGACCTCTGGTTATTACTTTTTCCATACCATTTGCAGTGTCAAGTGCAGCCAAATTAATTATTACTTTTTTTTTATTTATTCCATTTTACATTTCGTTTAATAAAAAAATGATATAAGTAAAAAATAATCGAATTATAAATTCAAAAAATAACTGAAGAGGTTTTTTTTTAAATGAGTTAATTAGGTTTTTATATAAACGTGCGATTCTTTTGTTTATTATAATGGTTTATTTATCAGAAATGGAATGTAAAAAGGAATATAAAATCTTTACTTTCACTGTTGTAACAAATAATGTGAGCGTATGGCCGATTTGGCTAGCCTTTTTCATCCCTAATGATTACTCTGTCTAGCTAGACGTATTAGTAGAATTATATAGGCTGTGGTATTAGTATAGTATTAAAAGACCTTTCTTAATAGTACTGTTAACACTTTGATAAAACAATATCAATCTTTTTTTCTAATACTAGCGCCATCTATTGCCAAACACACGTTAACAATTCGACCACTGTTAAACTTTCGTTAAGCGTTCGTTCTTAAATTGCAGTTTAAATAGGACAAACTACAACTGAGATCGATATAGAATGACACTCAGGACTTAAGAGTTGGTTACATTATAAATCTGGGGTCGACAACTGATGTCGTAATATACAAGTAATTTTGCAACGGAACGAGTTTTCTTTACAAAAACGAAGAGAAAAAGTTTATAGTAATCTTTTAAAGTAAGATTTTTTTCTGCCGTATACACCGCAGCCGTTCCAGTTTCACAAGAGTCCATTATAACACAGAATTTTAAATGACGAGACATTTTATTTCAAACAATTCTATAATACAAATTTCAGTAAATTCCTTAACGTCCGATCACAACGAGAGAAACAAAGTTAAAAAGTATGTATTAAGATATTTTGTATTAAATGCAAAAATTGTGTGGGGATGGGGCAATCAAAATCGAAGATTGCTTAAAAGATCTAAGGGTAGAAGAACTATTGTTGTATATGTGAAAATATAACTCCATACTGATTTACATTAAAAAGACGAAATATTTGATTGTTTGTATGTATGTTTGCATTGAATGCAATTAGAATCCAAGTCTTTCTTTGTTGCTTTGTGAAATTATTTATTTTAATATAAGTATGAAAACATTTTTCCTTAACCGAACGGAAGTGTTAGGCGGAGATATTTTTAAATCCCACCTAATAGTTTAATCGTCATTAGCAGTTACCGACCACATACATTCGTGATTTAAAGAAATAACAGCCGTAGCTTTATTTAGAAAGTTATTCGATTGCGATTATAGTCCTTCCCGTGAAGACAATATGGACACGTTTAAGAAAGTTTGTAGCAACTATTAGTATTAGTGGCATACGAGCTCGGATAAAATCGGCCACTGTCAAACATCTGTTCCTGATAAGATCGGAAATTTAATTAGCTTGTCACTATAGAGTGACATGCAGTGGAATGAATTGATTATTTTTCTAGCGATAGATAGAAGTTTTGAGTTGGGATACGACAAAAAATGTTATGATTTAATTATAATTTGTGCTATTCTGAGTAGGAAGATGCATTTGCTGTTTAACTGATATATCTAAGATAAGAACTAGATGTCTAATTTGTCTTCGTAAATCAGTGAAAGAAGATAGCGTTTAATATATTAGAATAACTGTATGTTATTCATGCATTGACCATCAAACTCGTTAAATTTAAGAAAATTAGTAAGAAGAAGAGTACTTTAGCATATGAGTTTGCGGCTGTGTGAGTAGTGGCAGGGAAGAGGGGCTGGTAAAAGGTGCGGGCGGTGCGGTACTGGAAGATTTGGTTGATAAACTGCTAAAGAAGTCACGTCAATTGCTTGCTACTTTTTGTTTGATTTAAATGTTACTTCTGCCAGTAATAGTTATATACAATAAATTATTTCGCAAATTATAAAATAGGTAATAGGAGAATTATAAAGAAAACTTACTTTTGGTTATCATAGAATTTTATTTGTAAAGCAAGTGTGTCAAACCAAAAACCTTTTTTAAGTTATGTATAATGTTTCGAGTAACTAATTATAGAATCCTATACAGCGTTTGGACAGCAGTTTTTATATATTTATTTTTGTTATACGAAGCTCAAATTAATTGTTAGTCCTGGAAAATAATTGCATACTCTCAAAAACTCTTCCGTATTTTCGAAATAAAATTCATTAATTAATACTTCGGTAGAAAAAAGGTTAGGTTACATGAAAAATAGTTATAAAAAGTAGTGAATTATCAGGCGAAACTATTTAATAGCACGTATGAAAAGCTGGAGAGGTCATAAATTATACGCACATTAATTAACATATAACTATAGACACGGGTCATTGGTAGTCAATATACAATTTATTGTAGTGGGCAGCCCCCTCCTGTCAGGCCCCCATGATATATCGCACATTGTTGGCTCATAGTTCAGAATAAGTTCTTCTATTGTTGATGTGGAGACTTCAAGATGAATGTTTTCTAAGGTCGTCTTTTGTGATATTTACCGTTATATTTGTTAGTCCTATTTGTTCTCCGTTATCAGAATAATATAAGTAATATTATATATCAGACTAGCAACCTACTTCGCACGGGTTTTCGTGTAGTAAGCTCTTACTCATAGTTAAACGAATTTATGCCAAATTATACATAAAAATAATCGATTCATTATATATTTATAGTATACGAAATATAAATAGGAGTATGTAACGATATGTTACATACTCCTATTTTGTTTTATGAGTTCAAAAAATACTTTGTTTTGTAACTACTTCCGGAAGTGAACCACCTCTGGAATATAAGGTATATCTCAAAATGTTTCAAGTTATGCTAAAAGCAGCCAAAAATAAATTTAAAGATGCTTTATTGACATTGTAAATT